TGTTTTACCAAAATGTGATTTTGACCCAACCAATGTGGTTCCAAACACATTCCTGATTTCACATTATTAACTATTGTTAGGATGTCTAGATTAATTATAAAATTCAAAATATAAAGTGACATGTAAATGATCTCATATTATGATTTATATATGTTCCATATGCAATGATAATTGACGGCATATGTATGGAGTCCTGTTAGACCTTCTACTCTTCTAATTAATAATTTGACCATTTAAAGAAAACGCGTGATTAATATATTATAACATATAATTATATTGTATAATATAGGATATATAAGGATATTGTCTCTTGAATTTTAGACCTAGTAATACCATAAACATTAAACTTATTTATTATGAAAAAATTTTCCTCAACTTTTGAAAATGTTGCAATCTAGCTCCTACCATTAATTAAAATTGATTTTAATCATTAGTTAATTAAAAATTCTAAGATCTCAAAAATTACAAATGTGTAATTTATTTTTATAATTGATCATTTTCTATAATTTTTTGAGTTATCTTCTATAATTTTTAGGTTCATTTATTGTAATTTTTTGGTTTTTTTTGTAATTTTTTATATTATTTTTTAATCAATTAATAGTTAAAATTAAATTTTTGTTAACAACATGAGTCATATTGCATTTCTTTTTTAAAAAATTTTTTCCATTCGGAATCTTAAAAAATCTTGAATGTTATCACCTTTCATTTAAATTGACCAGAACCTTTATTACGTGCGATCAGTATTAACAATAGTGTTCTCACAGGTACACCAAAATGTCTTTTACAGACTCTTTTTATTAAAAAATATAAATTATTTTTAATTAAATTTTATCCCTCAATAAAATAATTATTTATTTTTAAATTAATTTTATATTTTTATATTTATTTTTATTAAATACTCTATAATATATATAAAGTCATTCATTAATAAAAATATTTTTTTAAAAAAGACAATCATTATATTTTAAAAAATTAAAAATATTTTATACTTTTTAATAGAAGGAATATTATTTACGAGAAAGCTACAATATGCAAGTCAACGTCACCACTTACCATGCACATATACTTACATGAACCTAGAGCTACAAGCTGCAATTTATTTTAAGAGAATATATTACATATAATAATATATTCCACATTCCGTCTTATTTTATCACCCCAATTTTTCCCAAGACTTTTGCATTTATGTTTATTTGGGCTATAGCCTCTAATACTTTGTTCTCTAATGTCTTTGTAATGTTTTAACTTTTTAATTGCTTTTTTTATATTATTAAATTTTATATAAAATAAAAAACATTTTTATATCTTGTAGATAATGAAATGATAATATTTTTAATAAAAATCATAAAAATACAAATTTATAACATTTCATCATGATAAAATATCAAAATGTCTCTTATAATTTATATAAAATCTAATAATAAAAAAATAAACACAACTGAAAATTTAGAATACTATAGAGATCCCATGCCTGCGTCTATCAGAGCTGCTGGGAATAAGCTTCACTTCTCATTTAAAAGCCTCCATTACCATTTTGTTTGCCTTTGACTTTTTTATAATTACCAGATTCATCACCGCTTCCATCTGCGCTCTCAACCCTGAATCCAGACCCGTCGAATCCTCCGCCTCCGCCTCCGCCTCCGCCGCCGCCTCCACCACCGCCACCATTACTGCCACTGCCTCTTCCTCCACTAAATCCGCCGTTTTTACAACCTGAACGGCCACGTGATGATTTTCCTCTCCTGGACGTAGCAACGACTGCCAAGTCAAGAATGAGCAGTACAGTGAACACAAACCCTAAGACTTTGGATCTCGCCATTTCTAAGAACACGATGAAAATGAGACACCAACAATGAAAATGAGTTCCATATATATATATATATATATATAGGAAGCTTCATTTAAAGTCTTTTTTTGTGAAAATTAAAGTACCTGTGTCATGAGCTTCTTCAACATAATTATTATTCCAAGAAAGTGGGTAATCGATTATTTATCACTGTCGTATGGTGCCAAGGTGATCACAATAATAAAAGCCTCTATAAATAGGCATTGTAAAGCTAAATCTCGAGTGACTCTGAAAAGTGTGGCACTTGTATATAATAGCAGCTTCATTTTGATAGGTCACCTACTACTCACTGTTCATCATCATTTAAGTGTTATCAATTTCTTTTAGTACCTCTTTTCAATTTAATTACTTGTTATTTAAGAGTCTTATGTTTGTTTTTGTTTTTGTGTGTGTGTGTGTGTACGTTTTTTTTTTCTTTTCTTTGGAGGGGGGATTTGTCTTGTTAGTGACTGATTATATATATTATGACTTAATGATTGTTTGGTTATAGTTCTGATGGCTTATTACTTGGCTCTCTCTCTATAAAGGACTTCTTTTTTAGAAAAAAAAAAATCTTGATCTTTTATATAAGTCATGGAAATTATTAATTAATATTTTAAATTTAATTCTAATTTAATGTTTCTATATGACTCCTCAAATATTGTGTTTTCACATCTTATTAGGCAAAGTTGAAATATGTTTTAATATCAAGACAAATGTAATGAGTTAGCTAACCTTTCTCAATTCCCTTGAAGTAATTGAGAGAAACTTAAACAGGTGAGGCTATTAGTTAATAGTAATCTTTTTCTTGGCCTATATAAATAAAAATTTAATTAATAGACGCATCCTGACATAATTTTAAATCTAGACGTATATTGCCCTTTTTATCCTTAAGAGAATGTTCTCTCATTGTTACGTGTTAAGCTGGTGGTAGCTTTACATATGCACTTGTATCGAATATGATGTGATTTCCAACAGGATGAAATAATTAAGGACAGAGAGAAGATTCCATGAAATGTCATGTATTTTAATTATGATAGGAGTATATTACAATAACATAGAGGGTTAAAGTGTATCTTCAGTGATTTAATTTTATTTAAAATTTCATTTTAATAATTTAATTTTATAAAGTATCTTTTTAATTTTTTAATGTTAATATTATTAGTTTCTTGTATAAAAAATTTCTACATTTAATTTTTAAATATTAACATATTAAGTTTATTTTTTGAAAAAAATAACAATATTGACACACACAAAAATTATTTGAAACTAACGTTATTAGAGTAAAAAACACTGAAAATATACTTTATAAAATTAAAGGATCAAATTAAAATTTAATATAAAATTAGAGGATTAAGAGTATATTTTAGCAAATAAGATTATCAAATGTAAACTAATAATATAGAATAATTGTATTATATCAGTAATAAACTCATAACCTTACATAATCTGCAATTAATCTTTCAGAATTTGCAACTAAATTTGTAATATTTATAATTAATTTACAGACAATCTACAATTTACTCTATAATTGATCTACGACTGTTTTTTCAAGATTTACAACATAATATCTTCTGCAACTTCCAGAGCTATATATTTGCCACCAGCACAACAGAATTTTCATCCTTAATTCTCTGTATTTTTTATAAATTCATGGTCCCTTAAGATAATTTTTTCCACTATCCTTGTGACATTCACCCGTAATTTGTTTAATGATGCTGTAATAAAAGGGGCAATTGAAAATCATCCAATCCACTCATCATGACATTATCAATTAAATAATCATATATTTTAAAAAAAGTTAGAAGCTCGTTAGGATCTTATCTGACATTCATACCCAGCTGATTCATTTCAATCAAATACTTACACGAACAAAACCACGGTGTGTTTGATTTCAATTGGAGAAAACTAATTATGAAAAAAATTGATGGTGTTTGAATAAGATTTTTAAAATTGATTTATCAAATGGAGAAAAATTTAGCCTTTACAAATTGGAGTTTCAAGCACCAAAAAAAGTTTGAAAAAATTGGGCATGTTTGGTTAGCTTTTACGAAATGAAATTTCAAAAACTAAATAGAGTTTGTAAAAATGAAGACTTGGGAGTGTTTGGACAACTTTTTTCAAAATTATGATTTTGAACCAATAATTAATTTTAAAGAATATCCAAACAGGCCCCAAATGAGTTTTTGAAAATTGTTTTTACTTTTCAAGGATAGTTTTAAAATGCTTGTGGAATATATTAAAAGTTGAACTTGACAAGAATGCAAGACCAGAAGGGCTCACTTTTTCACATGTAACATAAAGCTATACGATCAGTAAAATAAAATCTAAGAACAAGATACCAACTTCATTTTATAAACAAATCATATTCTAGAGTTCATTGATCATCTTTTTCATAAGTCACATTGCATATAAAGATGAATCATTAATTACTTTATTCCAATTTTACCCTTGTACAATTTTCTGAGTAAAAAGATTACAAAAACGAGGGAAATTGTTTTTAAAGATGATGCATTTAATAAGTATAAACTGAGAAATCTCTTTCTTTTTCTTACAATATCAATAATTTAACTCCCTTTTTTTTTTTGTTTCAGTGAGGTAATTAGGAGGGACTTGTACATAGAAGCAGAAGGACTAATAAGCAATCTTCATAAGCCATGGCAGAAGAACAAGAATTTAGGCCAAACAATAATGAGGAGGGGTATTCTCACAAGTGAATACTCAATTCCTAAATCATTAACAAGGAGCAGGGATTCTCAAATCCTATCTCAAGGCCAGGTAATGAAGTAAATGTTGACTTACAACATGTAACAAAAAGAATATGCTTCTAATTACTACACATGGTCAAAAGCAGTAGTGTACCTCCCCAATCAATTTATCTGGCAGTATTTTTCTCCCTACAAATTAACAACAAAATCTTGCTCCCTGTCAAACTACAATATTCAGATCTCAACTTATCAACTAAGTAGTTTATGTGAAAAAAACCTAAGAAAACAGCAAATGTATAAGCAATAAGCAAGCAGGTTCACTACAAGTGTATTTGCCTACTACTCCATGGCCCTCTCAGCTGCATAAGCAACTTTCTGCATTATCATCGCTTCAGCTGTGCGTATTGCTCTCTGGGATCCTGTTATGGTAACTTTCCTGCATAACAAGGACGAAGCAAAATCACGTCCGAAAAACTTTGGTAAAAGAAACAACGACTCGGTCATCCAATACAAAATCGTGAGAAAGCAAGTTCATTTTTATACCTATCAGTTGTTCCGGTCATGAAATCACCCCTGTCAGATATCTTTATCCTTGCCCCACTAATCTGAAAAGCCAAATTAGTCTAAGTTAGTGCGTTGTATAAGTAATCATATTGAACCAAGTAAGACTATCAGCCATCGAAAAACCTGACTAATTTCAATTATGTTCCTCCCCCCACGACCAACTACCAGCCCTATATGTCCATCTGCAACACCAATTGTCAGTGAGTTATTCCGCTCCTCCTGGCAAGCAATGCAACAGCACCTATCAGTTCAGAGAAACAAAGAAATCCACCATATTTATCGAAATTTATGGCGGCTAAACTTGTTATTCTTTCATACATGAGAGTATGTTTGATCTCTCATCATAAGAAATAAAAAATAATAATAATAAAGCAAAAGATAAACAAAAACGTCCGAAGAATTAAACACATACACAAAGCGTGAGCAAATATGGTAAACAACCCCTTAGGCATGAAGCTCAATTGATTTTGTTTATTTTGTAAATGGAATTCCAGGTTCTTTTAGAGCACAAACACCAAGTGAAATACCACTTCTGTTATAGCTGTAACCCGTATAATTTTAGAAGGTTGCATATTCAAGCAAACCAGCTACGTCCTTATCAAATTTTATGATGTGATTGCATTGAACAGTTCAACTTATTGGGCAGTCAATCCATACAAAATGGACCAGGATAGCGTTTCTTCTGAATTTGGTCAAAATCCATCTGCAGCAAAATGCAAAGTATCAGTTGGATCTACCAGTGCGATACCAGTATTTTCATTTACGATTTACACCATAATTTGACCTGCCTGAAGTTGGTTCCCAGTTTGTCTATTTGTCTTGTATGATTGATAGGTCCAAATGAGCTCTATAGGCAAGAAAATTTTATTTTACAAGTTCCTTTCGAGATATTCCAAAGTCTATAAACTTCTCTCAATAACCTTCATATTTCCTATTCTTACATATTATGCAAATTTCTCCCAGTTTTGATGCCCCCTAGAAACTCCTACTTCTCATGTCTAAGCTTATTACCTTCAGCTCAACCATATTCCAAAAACTAGTGGCCCCTTATATTCCCAATTATCAGAGATTCACATTTATTTTTGCCCAAAATGCAAACGGGCAGTCCATTTGACTAGAATTGCAATTCAGCAAGATGTCAAGAGTTCCATAAAACACCAAAAGTGCTTACTTTATGAAAACACAGGAAAGACCACAATGACCTAAAATAGCCTACTTTCCTATTAGTGACTTGTGATTTACAACCGGATATTCATTAATGACAAATGACTTCACATCTCGCATCATTTGAAATGTGCTCACTCTTTCATTTTAAGATGACAAAATGGCACCATCCAGGATCACATGGTTCAAGGGATTGATAAGTGGAAGAAAGAAAACTAATTTCAGGATAGCAAGACTAAGGTCTTCATCCAAGTCTGACTCTATCAACATGCACCATGCTCAGCCTCCACAATAAGATATGCAAAATTTGTTGTCATTCTTTGTTCTGTCTGTCAAGGCAACTTACAACATCAGGAAACATTACTAACCTTGCTGTTCTGGACTTTTCCTCCCGCGCCATTTTGCCTATAGTTAATTCCATTGTAGGGTGTTGTTGCAACAGAAGGAACCACATATGTATAGGGAACACCTTGATAACCAGAGAAGACAACACCTAAAAATCAAGCGAAGAAAAATATATTAAGCATCAATTTTATGATGATAATTCCTCACAAAACATATCAAGTAAAAAATGAAATTGCCAATTGAATCTTGATTCCACCCTTTCATTATCATATATGGTGCTGTAATTTCTTATAAGTCTTCCTTTTCTACATTAATCAGCAATGAAAGAGCAAACTATGAAGGGCTAGTCAAACTTGAGGACTAAGAACGCCACAATTTAAGGCTCGACTCAAATCAAACAGCCACCTGAAATACATAACAACAGCCCAAATAACTTAAAGATTATGTGATAGCCTGCACAAACTCGAAGACCATGGAAGACAATTACCAAAACACCACCTTAGACCTAAATATAATATCTAATCACCCCAGACTACTATAAATAAAAATTTCACTGCAAAGATATAATAACAACAATCAAGAATAAATCTAAAGCAAATTAGCAAGATTTATGAATCTTAAACTTATTACTTATGGATATTATTGCTGCCTGCAAAAAGTGCAATTATAAAGCAAAGTACAATAATTTATAAAAACCAAGATACATGTGGTGGTGGCTGTCTCAGCTTAAATTTAAAATTCTTTATCATTGAATATGCATTCATAGTCTTCCTACTGGAAACATGATGCTCAATTTCCTCATTGACTTTTAATTTAAATATTAAGTATTTCTTAACTTTCATTAGTCTTTAGAGCAAAAGTGTATTAAAAAAAGGTGTATGAATCAGGCTTTGTATTTATAACCATCTTGTTGCAGTGATCACTAATAACCATCTTGATATATGGCATACAGGGCAATAGAAACTTAGCAACACTTCGCCTTCAAAGTGAAAGAATTATTCAAGCAAAGAAAATTGGATTGACAAAAACATTGAGGATACATTCTTTCCGTTAAGCAGAGCCTCCTGTCCTTTGATTTGGGGGGCAATTGGAGAAAATATACATATGCAATTTTTTCAGCATAAAATAAGCACTGCCCTTGAAAAACAACAGTTAATCCTTAAGTCCCCTTAAAATTACTTATGGCCCCCTCAAATTACTTTTTTCCTCCATCCACCTCTGCAGTTACCTATATATGAATTGAACTTGACTTATTATTAGCTCTTTGGAACCACAAACATGAATGAGAAGCTACTACACGAAAGAATCCTAACCGATGTTCCCAGGTATTAATAAACAATACAAACCTGGATATGAAAATGGAGTGTTCATGGACTGCGAATACTGTGGATCTTCAGCAAGCTTGGAAACAATTAGATCAATTGCATGCATCTGTTCATCCAGAGTTCCAGACAATGTCACTAGCCTATCATTCAGTCCATAATAATTATTATCTTGAGGAGATATCTTGATGCTAGCATGAGAATCTTCAATAAATGACCTGCTCAAAGAAAAAGGTACATATAAAGTTAACTTTTTACCCCAATTTCTCAGCGATGTTAATACATATAGAAAGGATTATTAACTGATAGTAATAATCGATCTCTTAGTGACAAAGAAGGTGGGGTTAACATGGGAAGGAAAAGGTGATGGATAACAATTTTCTTAGGCTGACTTCAGCGATTGCAAAAAGCATCCTGATACCAACAGGAGGGCCTGCTGTTATGGGTGGTTGGTAAATTTAACAAACCTTAAAATAATATTGAAAAGAACACACCATTTGCTCCGAGTTTAGAAATATTCTCAGAACAAAGATCAAGATCCTCAAGCACTAGAAGTTGCTTTTTCCATCAGTAGTTAATTTATAAACAAGGCAAACTAAAAAGTTTTATATCTAATATTGACTAAGAAAAGTACTCATACCTAATGGTAGAACCTCCCTTGCCAATTATTCCTCCACAAGAGCTATTTGGAACAATGAGTCTTACCTTTGTTTTTGGCTCACCATCATTGTCATCCTCACTGTGAAGCTAATCACAGAAGCCAAGTAAATTTCAGAAGCACATAAGCAATCTTTCATCCCATTAGTAATTAAATCTACATAACGGCAGTTACCTCACTCATCAACTTAGAAAGAATAAGTTCTACAGCTTTTAGAATTTCATTTATTGCACCAGATACCATAATAATCCTATCTGTAGTTCCAGGGAAAAATTCATGATTGCGAGATAATTGGATTCGTGCTCCAGATTGTGATTGGAAATCAGTGATAGTTGAACCACCCTTTCCAATAACAGAACCAGCTGCAGCGTTTGAAACAAGAAACCGAACATATGTTGGTTTCTCTGTGGAATCTAGCAGAAGCAAGCACTATATTAGAATAAGCATGACGCATAAGAAGGTAACAAATTATAGATTAACTTACCATATGATGCGTAAGAAGGTAAAAAAGTAATCTATAAAATATTGCCTTGTGCTCTAGTAATAGTCCATAAGATTAACTTGCCATATGCATAAGAAGGTAAAAAATTATAGACTACTTGATTTTTTCACTTCCTGATATCAAATTTATATGGAATTAGGCATGCATGATAGACAGAAAAGAGAATTTCATCATCCAAGGGTCAAATTAACAAAAATCAAATTTTGTAAAAACTTGGTTGACCGTACTAGTGTGACATGACTTACATAAGTACAATTCTTCTGACCTTCATCATGCCAGCTTAAATTGACTATACAATAAATTTTATGCGAAAACAAAATCACTACTTGTAAATGCCACTCCCATCAAAGCAAAAGTTTTATCTATATGCAACAGTTTACGTACATCCATGAGGAACAGATCAAGCGGTAATCAAGCTTGAGCTCATTGGTCGAAGGGCATTTCCAACATCAAAGTTCAAACCCATGAGAAAACACTTCTAGGAAGAGGCAACCCCAGTACCCCAAAATCCCAAATGAGATTAGTCCCAAACCAAAAGGATTGAGAAGTAGTTCTCAAATAATAATAACAATAAAATTCACTCAATAGGGTAGTGTGCTAGGATTTGGAACTCCAACCTATTTACAAGTCATCTTTAACTAATTTGCACAGATAAAAAAAGTTTAGTTACAATTAGTTGATGTTCTTAACGTTATCCCATCTTCCCAAAAAAATACCATCCACTAAATGCAATTAATTCTAATCCAATCTTACTCATCTCTCTCAATACCTCTCCACCATAATTACTCAATAATATCCATGACAAAGGCACTATTGAAAAATATATCAATTGCTTCATAGATTTTGCAAAATAACTTATAAATGAAACAAAAAAACTTCTAGAAGCTGACTTATAAATAAGAATGAAGGAAGTAAAACCTAAAATAATTTCATATTTTCATAAAATGGAATTTATTTTTCAATAACTGAAGGAAAAAAAAGTCAATCAGATCCAGAACACAAATTCAGTCTTACAACAATCAGAATGCTCATCATTCAATTACTAAAAATATTTGGGAGGACAAGTAGATGATAGTGACGATGGCATGAGTCCTTGTTTTGAAGAAGATAACGAGGATTCTTAGTAAGAGAGAAATAATGAATCCACAGCCCAAGTTTCCTTTTCATTTTTTTCTTTTTTGAGATCGGAGAAAAGCTTTATTTTCACGACTGACGCAAATTGTTATCAGGTCCAGAGTTAGAACTTTATAAATATTGAGAAGTAAATGGTCCTTCAAAAATAAAATCCTGACTCAAGCATCAACCCTCATTATTTTCTGGTAATTTATCCTCATTTTCAGCAATAACCCTGATCCTTCAGGGGGAGTTGATTATAAACGAGGGTTAAAATTGCATTGCGATTTTTCCAGCACAAAAAACTAGCTGAGAAAGCAAGTAAAACTCAAGCATTCCACAAAGTAGTATTTGTGATAGCAACTTAGCAAGTTTTCCACCTCCCATTCTCGAAAGTCGTGAGATGAACTAAAGAAAACATTTTCAATACGCAGCTCAGAAAATCTGAATTAGGTGGGTCAGGAAAGTTGGGCTCCGATGTGACCGTACGTTAACATTACCGACATTTATAATTAACCAGAAAGCGCATCATTGCCATTGATGTAACCACATATTGCCATCAAACTGGACCGCCATTTTCAACTGCCGAAACCAAAAAAACCGAAACAGAGAAAGTAGATCGGATCAGATACCTGGAGCATGGGAATTGGGTTGTGCCAAGGGGGGTTTCCTGGGTCCCTCAGGAGATGACACATAGGGAGATTCTGTTGACTCCATTACTATCCTTCAACCTCTTGTCTTTCCTGCCTTCTTTTGCCAAGAGAAAGAAAGGGCAATTTACAGAAACAGCGTAACAAACAAAAGCAACAGAAGAAGCTCAAACCATTGCCGCAAATTCCATTTGGTTACAAAATCCAAAGACCGAAAATGGAGGTGGAGGAGGAGGAGGAGAAGGAGTGGGTTACGGTGTGAAAGCGAAGTGAAGAATGGAATTAGAGAGATTGAACCCCGACTACATATCCAGCAGCTCTCTCTTTCCTACATGTGTGTGCGTGCGTGAGTGAACGAGCCAGTCGTCGTGGCTTGGGCGTGATTACCGCCTCTGTTATTATTAAATTATTAATATTAATGATGATAATGATTATGATTATTTATTAAATAACTGACAAAATCAGAAAATGATACTCCCTCCGAGACAGAAAAAATTCATTTTTTTAAATATATGGCACTTTAAAAATATTAAAATCTTATTACATAAATTTATTTTAATATTAGTCTTTTTCTCTTTATTTAATATTAATTAAATGAAGGTTAAAAGTTATTAATGAAAAGTATTTTTAAAAGTTTATATTTTTATTTAAAAGAAATAAAATTATTAAATATATTTAATAAAATTTATTAACATATAAAATTTTATTTAAAAGTACCTTATAATTTAGGAGGAAGAGAGTACAACAATTTTTTCATTCCTCCACTCCATAAGTAGAGTTGAGAATATAAGTTAGATTATATGAATTGGTTCAAATAACCAATCACATGAGTTGGGTTGGGTTAGAAAAACATTAATTCAAATTAAAATATGCCTGAATCAAATAACCTGTGAATAGAGTTGATATGAGCTCAACCCGCTAACACATAAAAAAGTGGTAGGTTAGGTTAGAGAAAATGAATTCGTTTAGACGCAGGACAATTTTAGTTCACACCACATAACTTGAACATGTAGCTGACTAACACGCTAGTTTGCTTATATTTTTAAAAACAAACAAAAAATAAACAAATGAGATTAAATTTAAAATAAAGCATTTAAAATAAGCATGCATGAAATTACAGTTTAGATACATGACACTTGAACATTTGTTTAATTTAAAATTGAATTATGACAAAAAACAATAAAAACACACAACTTAGATACAGTTTTATTTATAAACCACTTCCGACATATTTTATCAGTATCAAAAAAAGCCTTAAAACTCATTAATTTTGTCTTAAAATTTAATAAGTTTTTAATTTTATCCCTATCAAATATACACACTTTAATAATAAATTTTCTCTTTCCAACATTCAATGAAGGGTAAAAAATAAATTTTATGATGTAACTTATAAATAAAACAAAAAAATTTCTTCTTTCTCTGCCTTATAAATAAGATCAGAGAGAGTATATGTTAAATATAACAAATCATAATATTACATTTTTATTTTGTCCACTGATTTGATTTATAAATTACCAACCATTTTCAATAATTAATTGAACTTAGTCATCTCTGTTCTCTCAATGTTGAGGATTGCTAAAATCTAAACAAGACAAAGAAAAGAAATTTTTGTATATGAAAAAGAGAATTTTGCATAAAGTACAAAAACTAGAGAATAAAAAGATCACAAAATCAAATTAATTTATATTTAAGTGATGATATAAGTTTGACTTGATTAGAATAACTTTTATTTTTATTTGAATAATTAATTTTTAGAGGCAATATATGATTTTTTTTACCTCTAAAAAATAATAAAAGAGGTGAACTTATAATTTTTAAAATTAAAAAATTATAAAAAAATATGTTTTACTTGCAGGTTGGCAAAATTATAACCCATATATGATGAGAGTTATGTTAGACGTTAGCCTACAACCCATCATGAGTCAACCCGCAATCCACAAGTTAGCCTGTTTAGCTTATATTATTTTTTAAAAAAATGGAGAAAAAATGGAGAACGTGATATATTCATGATTTTTTGATAAATTGATGGGTATAACTTGGTTAGCTCAATTTGGTACATTTAGAATGAATCATGACATGAAGGAATATTATATTGAAATTTATCATTATTTTTATTTAGGTGTATTTTTTAAAATTTTTAAAAAATAAGTTGAAAAAAAATAACATAAATTAGCAAATTAGCCTATTTAACCTGTCAGCTTTCAATAATAATTTCAACCCATATAAAAATGAGTTGAATTCAACCTAACCCAAATGAGCCAACTCAAATGGTGATTCAACCTATACTTTCAGCTTTACTCCATGTTACTTTACCCTGTGTTACATTACAACTAGTGTTCAACTCGTGAGGAAGAAGTCGTCTAATTAAATTAAATTATTTTTAAAATTACCTTCTCATAAGATGAGTTATATTGTAGAACATTTTTGTTATTACATACTAATAATTTGAAATCAACATTTGTGTTATTTGGGTTTTTTTTAAAAAAATTAAGCATGTAGTCTTTAGCTAGACTCTATTATCTGCAGACAATTGAACATACAAATGAAAAATATGAATGATATAATCAATTAATCACAACTAATTATGATAGACAAGTATAGCCTATAAGAAAGAAAGTTAAACAAATAATTAGTGTAAGGTATAACCAAAAAAAATTATAGCCCGTTGTCAAAGTTTTCAAATATATATTAGAATACAACATTGATCATTTTTTAAGATGCCTTATTACTTTTATCATGAATTATTATCTATAGGCCTTTTGTATATAAACTTATTTCCAATTAACCAAACTAATTTAAAGAGGAACTTATAATTGTTACTTTCTCATTTCATTAGTAAAATATTAAATGAGTTATCAATATCTCGTATTATTACTTGTATTTCATGTAATACATAAAGGAATTTAATCATTATGATTAAATTAATTTATATGTAATGCAATTTAATCATACTTGTAATGCACGATTGTGAAAACATAATTAATTTCACTTACATTTTCCTTTGCCATCTCTCCTTATTAAAAGTTTTCAATCTCATTTACTTTTCTTAGAAATTCAATTGATTAAAAATATTTTCTCTCCATTTTATTTTATTTAATTTGAGAGTTAATATCCCAATGCTTACACAGGTAATTTAAAAAACTTTAAAAACAAAATTATAAAACGCTTTAAGTACATGTATTATAAAACTATGAAATCACTTTGACATATTTTTAAACACACGTCCCCATTCAAAAGAAATTAATGGGGCTAAATATGTCATTACCATCAACCATTATAATTGACTAAATAAAATTTTTTTGATTCAAGAAATTCAATAAACCAAATAAAGTAACTGATTAAGTTACTAATAGAGTTGAACTCATAAGATAACGTCTTAATGTAGTGAATTATAATGCATGAGTTAATCGTGAATCCTTGAACATAAGGAACAAAAGGAAGAACCATTCTCATAGAGAAGTTAATCATGAATAGCAGTCAAATTAAATGGTAATATATTATTCAATTGCCACCCAAATGAAAGCATTGTGAAATATGATAGACTACACAATTACAAGAACTCCTTGGCATGTGCACAAGATTTCTTCCACATCTACCGTAACAATCATTAGGATTCAGGACCCTATTGTATCGTCTTCCTAATGCAGGAGACAACAAAGCCATTAGTTTTCATTCTGGAAGTAATTTGGCAAGTAATATTAAAATTTGAGTTAAATTTTTATAGTCATGTGTTTCAGGAAAGTGTAATTGAACTTTTAAGGGTAACAAACTGCAGAATTGTCTAAAACATCACACTTTAACCAAAATCTTTATTACAATGCATGGAAGGCTTTTTTAGAACACACCAATAGTGGCTAATGGACCATTAAATTTTGGACAACTTTGCATCTATAAAACCTAAAGGTTATAAACCAATGTAGCAAATAAAATTTTGTAGCATATGGACCAATGAAGAATATGAAAATTCTGGACAACTGTTAGTTGTTCTACTTAAATCATTGATAGCTTCCTCCTCTATCCCTTACTTTCCAAATGCAAAATTTACTCCCTAGAAGTTTTGGAAGGAAAGAATCATAAAATGGTTATCTTTGTGAATGAAATTAAGACTTAACCTTTCTCAACGCTGAAAAGGAGCAATTTAACTTGGGATACAAATGGAGCTGCTAAAATGAAAATTATAAAAATAAATAAATAACAAAGATACAATGGATTCAAGTAACGGATACAAGAAAAGTGGTCCACTATGTGAAGTTGTTAGCCATTTTTAGATGCCTTTTCTGGGTATGAATGAGCAGCCTTTCTTTGCGGCCAAAGGGGAGGTACATGTTCACTTGTTCCATTCCTCTGAACTTTCAGGAAATACTTCTGTGCATGACTCCGTATTTACCAAAGTGCAGTAGGAGAAGTAAATATATTATACAGCTTTGCAAAAAAGAAGAACATAAGGGGTAAAAGCAAACCATGTCACAGACATGGAAAATTACCATGAGAAAAATGATGAAATAATTAATACATTTTCTGCATCCTGGAATGATTTTGTCGACATGGCAATCACTACACTCTAAAAATCACATCCATGACTCACTTATATTGCCAACTTGGCAACTAAAAAGAGAAATTCATTGTATAATTCAAGATGAGTTTAAAACTTAACGTCTTTTTGATGTAACCTTAAGATATATTCAGACATATAAGAGGAAATTGAGGGGAGGGAAAGAAGTGGAAAAGAAATATCCAGCAAGTCAGAATTATTATCCTAAGGGTCCAGCAAATCAGGATATAGTCATTATGTGTTTAGGGTGGCTATAGATTCAGTTTAGAGGTCGGAGTCACATCATTTATGGCTTGCTTAATATTTCGTTGTTGTTTTGGATAGCACTCAAGACATGTTTTGATTGTTAGATAGGAATGACAAGAATACTGGTCTCTCAAACACCAGTGAGGGAGCTATTATGTTGTTGCTTTCATTCTCTTTGTTGTAATCTTGTTTCAATATTAGGGAATAGGATTTTGGCTAGAATCAATGGCCTTTCTTTTTGTGACACTGATTCGGCTAGTTTGATTTAATATCAAAACCTCAAAATTTCCCATATTTGGTTAGTTCTTGCATTTATTTCCCTGTTAGAAATTTATTATAGAGCAGAGTTCTAAGGTTTTGATATTATACAGCAGAGTTCTATTAGTTCTCCGCTCAATAAACATTACAACAAATTGCAACATTATTTTTCTCAGTACATGTCCTGGGACGACTCATGAGAATCTGACCACCAGAAACCAAGCAGAAAGAAATTTAGCCCCAACTTAGTCTTTCAACCCATCTTAGTCCATCAGAAAT